CAGACCTCCCGTCAGGCCCAGAGCCTGTGGCTATAACCACGCTTGTGCCCCAGCAGGCTGAAGATGCCCTCACATTACCCCAGGACTCCGCTGTGGCTGCAGCCACGCTTGTGCCACAGCAGGCTGAAGACGGCCTCACATTACCCCAGGACTCTGCTATGACAGCACCTTTGCCTCTACAAGACACAGGCCCCACCTCAGTTCCAGAGTCTCTAGCTATGACCACCCCTCAGACCTTGCAGGCAGAAGCAGACTGCGCCCCAGGGACAGAGTCCGTGGCCTCCATGGCTCAGCAGGAAGCAGGTGCAGCCTTAGGTCCCAGGCCAGCACCTGAGAACATAGCCCTCCCTAGAGTCCCAGAGCCTGCAGCCTTGGACCAGGTCCAACAGGATGACCCACAGCCAGCTGCAGAAGCTGGGACACCTTGGGCCGCACTGGAAGATGTGGGTCCCACCTTGGGCCTGGAGGCCCCCCATCTCCCTGAGCCTGCCTCTGGTATGGGGGAGGAAGTAGCAGAAGCCCTTCCTATGCCCAAACGGCAAGCATGTCTGGGAGCCCGAGTGCACACAGGTGATGGGGACTTGCCCCCAAAGGAGACCCTGGAGGCTGAGAACCAGCAGGGAGGAGGCCTCAAGCCACCGGCTCGGGCATGTGGACCTGGGTCAGCCCTGGGAGGTGCAGGGGAGGTCCCCGAGGCTCCTCCTGCTGCCTGCCCTGAGGTCAGCCAGGCCCGGCTCCTGAGCCCAGCCAGGGAGGGAAGAGGCCCGAGTGGCAAGTTCACCCTGGAGCCCAGACTTCCCTCAGCTGTGGCCACAGAAGCCTGTCTGGACTCCTGCCCAGAGTCTTCAGTAGGGGCTGTGTGCAGGCTGGACGGAAGCTGCCCTGAAACGCCTGCCCCCACATCTGCACCAACCTCCCAGCAGCTGGAGCCGGTGCTGGGCCTGGGCAGTGTTGAGCAACCCCAGGAAGCACCTAGTGTCCTTGGCCCCCAATTGCTGCAGCCCCCAGAAAACCTTGCAAAGGGTCTGCCCAGCTTACCCCTGGACAGGCTCCTGGGCCCTGACCCTTCTATTCCTGGTGTCCTTGCTGAGGCAGCCCTACCCCCACTGGACCCCCCAGCCCCCTGCCTGTGCCAGGACCCCCAGGAAGACTCCGTGGAAGACAAGGAGCCCCCAGGCTCTCTGGGCCTCCCACCGCCCCAGGCAGGAGCCCAGCCTGCCACTGTTGCTGTCTCAGGAACCACACAGCCTCTGGGGATTGAGCTGGGAGTCAGCCTCTCGCCTCACTCCCCACTCCTCAGCCCCAAGGTGGCCCCCACGGATGCCAAAGACCTGGCCTTGCAGATCTCGCTCCCTTGCCAAGTGCCTCCTCGCTCTGGGCCCCAGAGCCCAGCTGGCCCTCAAGGGCTCTCAGCCCCCGAGCAGCAAGAGGACGAGGACAGCCTGGAGGAAGGTAAGAGGGAGGGTGGGAGTTAAGTGCCCTGGGGCTTGGGTCAACTGGACTCCTCCTCAGAGCTGTCCTGTCCTGGAGGGCCTCTGAAGTGGTGGGGTGGTGGGCCCAAAACCCATGCATGGCCATCATGGAGAGCTGGCCAGGGTCCTAACCCCCCTGACCCCCAACTAGAAACAAGAGGCATTCTCACACCTCCCCCCTTCCCCAGACTCGCCTCGGGTCCCGGGCTCAAACCAGCATTCGGATAGCCACGGGGAGTCGTCAGCCGAGCTGGATGAGCAGGACATCTTGGCTCCTCAAACTGCACAGTGTCCAGCCCAGGTGCCCAGTCCAGGGAAGAGGGTGGGCCTCTGGGAGGGCCCCACACTCCACCCATGGATGCTCAGCTCTCAACTTTTCTCAGGCCCCAGCAGGCGGCAGTGAGGAGACCATCGCCAAAGCCAAGCAAAGTCGCAGCGAGAAGAAGGCCCGAAAGGTGGGCTGGTGGTTCCCCAGGGACCACCTGTGGGGGAAACATCCTTACCAAGACCCTCACACTCCATGGCTAATGAAATCCCATCCATCAGGGGGCCTTTGGGTCAATGCCCATGACCTATACACCTTCCCCTAAACAGCTGAGGCTGGGATGTCATGACGGCCCTTACAGACTGAGGCTCATGGGGAGGGACCAACCACCAGCCCAAGGTCTCGGGGAAGTTGGCGGTGGAGACTTTGCCTTCCTGCGCACTGTGCTGCTCTCCTCCCCCGACATGGGCTAACACCAGGTCTGAGCCCCGCTCTGCCCTCTACTCCAGGCGATGTCAAAGCTGGGCTTGCGGCAGATTCAGGGAGTCACCAGGATCACCATCCAGAAGTCCAAGAACATTCTCTTTGTCATTGCTAAGCCTGACGTCTTCAAGAGCCCAGCCTCAGACACTTACGTGGTCTTTGGCGAGGCCAAGGTTTGTGGTGCAGGCTGTGGTGGAATGGGGGGTCCGAGGGACGGGGGACAAGGATGGTGTAGGCTCTACTGACACAGCTGTCTTCCATGTTGCAGATTGAGGACCTGTCCCAGCAAGTGCACAAGGCTGCAGCTGAGAAGTTCAAGGTGCCCTCAGAGCCCTCAGCCTTGATCCCTGAGTCAGCACCCAGGCCCCGGGTGAGGCTGGAGTGCAAGGAAGAGGAAGATGAGGAGGAAGAGGTGAGGTGCAGGGCTACAGGACCTTGCAAGGGGGTGGTGAGATGCACTATATGGGGGCTCTGCCCCAGGGACCGCAAACAGCTCCAGCCACTTCCCTGCTCCCTCAACCCCAGGTGGACGAGGCGGGGCTGGAACTGCGTGACATTGAGCTGGTGATGGCGCAGGCCAATGTGTCCAGGGCCAAGGCTGTGCGGGCTCTGAGAGACAACCACAGTGACATTGTCAACGCCATCATGGTGAGCAAGCACTGGCCCCTTTCCCTGCCCCTGAGCTGTCCCTGAGGGCCTCAGAGGAGTCTCGCTGTTGGCTCCACTAGGGGGGTGCTTCCACCAACATGACTGTCTCCTTCTGCAGGAACTGACCATGTAGCCACTGACCAGAAGCTGGAGCCATCCTGCGCCTTTCCTTAGCTCTGCTACTCAATAAATCGGTGTCCCTTCATTGCCCTCTGGTGTCTCCTCCTCGCCTTCCGGAGTCCCATCATCACCCCCTAGCATCTCTTCATTTCCCTCTGATGTCCCCTCACCACTCCCTGGTGTCCCCCCGATGTCCCTTCATTGCTCTGTGGTGTCCCCTCACTGCCCTCTGGTGTCCCCTCGTCACTCCCTGATGTCCCCTCATTACTCCCTGATGTCCCATCACCCTGTGGTGTCCCCTTATCCCCTCTGGGTGTCCCCCCATCACCCTCTGGGTGTGCCCCCATCGCCCTCTGGGTGTCCCCTTACCACCTTCTGGTGTCCCTTCATCGCCCTCTGGGTGTCTCACCTTCCTCTGGTGTCCCCTCATCACTCTCTTGGTGTCCCATCACCCTCTGGTGTCCCCATTACTCCCTGGTGTCCCCTCACTCTGGGTGTCCCCTCATTACCCCCCGTGTCCTCTCACTGCCCTCTGGTGTCCCCTCATTACTCCCTGGTGTCCCCTCATCACTCTGGGTGTCCCCTCACTCTGGGTGTCCCCTCATCACCCTCTGGTGTCCCCTCATTACCCGCCCTCCCAGTGTCCCCTCACTGCCCTCTGGTTCCCCCTCATCTGCTCCATGTCCTCTGGTTCCCCCTCATCTGCTCCATGTCCTCTGGTTCCCCCTCATCTGCTCCATGTCCTCT